ATACTTTATACCTTAGAATATTCTCTTTGTAAACACCTATATATAGGTCATTGTACATATAGTATAATTCAAGAAAGCAATAAACCTTTCTTCAGATATTTCTCCTTCTTTTCAGTTTCTAACAATAACCATTGCCTTTTTTTCTTCTTTTTTTCTTCTTTTTACTTTTAGATTGACACTTAGATTTAATACGTTCAGCATTCTTATATTTGTAACAGATAATCTCGATCATTTTTTAACTTTACTGCTTTTGTAGTATTTGTCCCTTTAATGCTTTTAATTTGTAGTTCTTCTCTTGCTTTGATTTTCCAGCTTGTCTCTCCTTAAGAATCTCTTAATCTTTCAAACTAAGCAATAAAACCAGAAGAGCGATTTAATCTCCTAAATTTATTTTTCATGAAAAATGATGAAAGTGACGATGACTCTCGGAAGAAGGGCCTGTTTGGTGTGGCTGGTGAGAGCTTTAGCTTTTTGAGTACTGTTATAAGTGATAGGTTTAAATTTTTATTGGAGGGAAAATAGAGCTTTAGCTTTTAGGAAAATGAAAAAGGGAGTGAAAAGTAAGTAAAAAGGGAGTTTATGAAAAGTTTGGATTTGAAACTTTTGAACTTTTACTGTTTAAGAGTTTTTTGAAGTTAAAAAAATATTTAAAAGTGTAAGTTTTTAAGAGGGAAATTTAAATTCATGAAACATAAATAGTATCCAAAAGCTGAAGCTCCTAGGAGCTGCACCAAACATGCTCGAAGAAATCTATAATTTTCAAAAGCTCCTCCAAAGATGAAAGTAACAGTGACGAAATGGATGATGAAGAATTTGTATTGCTTGCTTGAAAGATTAAAGATTCCTAAGGAGAGATAGGCTGGTAAATCAAGGACAGCAAGTGAATAACTACAAAAGCAGTAAAGGAGAGGGAGAAGACAATGAAAAAGATGAGATTAAAAGTAACATGATACCATTTGCATGCTTTATTCAGGTCTGCAAACAAAAGGTGCGGGTGGGAGGGGATGTAATAGATGAAGTTAACCTGGACATGCCCAGTGTAGTTGTATTTCTCTTTGTGGGACTTAGTTTGGAATGAAAAAGTAACTTGCCTTCTCCTTAAAAAAGGAAAAAAGGTGCGGATGGGAGACCATATAGTTCACAGTTACTCGGACTTTGTGGATAGCTAGAAACAATGCATTATTTAAAAACACCATTACCGACGACAGAAAATTGTTCGATTTAGTTTAGGTGCAATTCTACCAATGGCTCTGCAATACTGGTGATTCTCGGATTGGTTGTTGGAACCTGCATTATGCATGATGTCCACTGGGGCTAGACGGTAACTAGAGGGCTCTAAGAACAATCTGGAGGCAAGAAATAATTCTAATGAGCTAAACATGTGCTTAAAAGACCCAACAGAAAGGTTGAACTCTTATATTGCAAATTTAATTGGGATTGCTTGCTGTAACACTCAATACATTGCTGTAATGTTTTTGTTAATGGGTTGAGTACCCTTGTACTCCCTAATAATGCATATTATTTCTGTTCAAAAAAAAAAAATTTTTGCATGCTGTAATGTAAAATTCCTATGTTATCAAAGATTAAAAGTAAAGAATCTGTAATGTACCAACTCTTTTTGGATATGGTTGGTATTAAATTTGCCAATAACGTGAATTAAAGTTAGAGTGTAATTTTGTAGTTGGAACATAGACCATTGGCAGTTCGTAATGTAGCAGGTGAAACGATACAAATCCTATTTAATTTCTAGTCAAGGACTAACAAACGGTTTACGCAAGACAGTTAAAGGTTCTTAATAGCTAGGTTACTGTTCTTTTATTTTTCCTCATTTTTTCAGCTTCTACGTATATTTTCTCTCTATTTGTAAGACAAAAGGCAGTTCTCTAATTCTTTATGCTTTATTCTAGTAGTTATCTTATTTTGTCATTGCTCTCTTAATTTGATATTCCTTATTTAAACTTAATTGCAATTGCAACTATGTTAACCATATAGTTTATAGCACTAGTGTTTTTTGGCCAACATTCATAGTGCCTGTTAAGTTTTTTTTTAATTTGAATGCATTTATCTTCTTTTCTCAATGCTCTTATCCCTTGTTTAAGGAAAAAAAAAAAAAAAAAAAGGCTTCAAGTCCTAACTAATTACAAAACCATTGCAACATACATAAACATTTCAACTATTAGGTTTATTTGGAAGAATTAGTTTGTTATGGGTAGCTAATATAGTCGTTATTAAGGTAATCAACTTTAGGTTTGTAAAATTTTTCTAAAAATTACAACATACATAAACATTTTATTTACATTTTGATATAGTTATTATTAAGGTAATCAACTTTAGATTTTTTTTAAATCTCTTTTAAAGAAAATTAAAACATGCATAAACATTTTATTTACATTTTGATATAATCATTATTAAAATAATCAAGTTTAAATTTATAAAACTTTTCTAAAATTAAAACATGCATATACATTTTATTTATATTTAAGATAAAATGCACAATTGAATTATCAGTAGCCATAGACGACCACTTGTAATATTAACTAGTGCACAAAGCCCAATCTGTTTCCCTGTACAAAATACAAAACAAAAGGTCCTCATTTTTGTTATTGAGCTAGACCCATCCAGAAAATGAAAGGATACAGAAACTGGGCCTAAGCCCAGCAGAAATATACACCGTTGATAAAATTAAAATTGGGTTAACCTTAACCCGACACAAACTGCAGCTTACAAATACTCTACTCGTCTACAATCGAAAAAACACAAAAATTATCTTTAAATAAAAAATAATAATAAAAGTTATCATTTTTATTTAAAATTTAATATTTTAAAATTAAAAAATATAAAATTGACATCCTTTTCTATACCTTTTCACTGTAACAATCGTTCAAAGTTTTAAATATAGAAAAAATTGTAAGAATGTAAGAATTGCAACATACAGAAAAATCTTAAAATATTCAAGAAAGGTAGCATCTGCAAATTAAAACCAGAAAGTTTATTAATATGAAGAAAGTATTGATAGCAAATGAATGAAAAGCACAAATTCACATATGCAAGATTTTATCTAATCAGATCCAATCAAGGGCCTGTTTAGCATTGCAAAACTATTTCTACATGTTAGATATGAGAATAATTGGGTTTATAAGTTAGAACTCAGGAAAATAAGTTACAACCCCAGTAAAGTTTTTTTATTGTTTTTTTGAGAAGGGCAATGGTTAGAGGTGTTAGTGTGTAGGAAGAGTATTGAACCCGGAACATGGGATGCAAACTACAGCCTGCCCCAAAAAGCAGCAAGTGGCCGTTGCGCCACACACTGGAATGCAACCCCAGCAAAGTTCTAACATGATAGTCGTATTGTACTAAGTTGAGTGAAGTGACACAAACCAAATCAACCCACTATTGAGGTAAACACAAAGAAGACTCACTTTAATATATATCACATATGGTATGAATCATATCTTAAAAGTGACACTCAGCAGAAGAACTAGGAATTATGTTTTACCTGACATTGTTAATGGATGCATCTAATACATATCCTTGTTGACATTGATATGGTTAAGCATACATTAGACAAAGTACAATAGAATAGTTTGGACTGAAAAACACCATTCTCAATTATTATATGATTAAACATATATCAAACAAAGTACAATTGATAGTCTAGGCATACAATGATCCTGGTAAAAGGAAAACAAAATTTTGTATGATTGTTTGGTCTAATCCTTAAGCGTGCTCAATGGCTGGTAAGTATGAATATCCCATGGAATATGCTTCAATTTTTTTTTTTTTAGAGAAACAGTATAAACAATGCAAGGCAACAATAATCAAAACTATAGCTTAATATATGATGTTGTTGCATTGAAAAATAAATGGCCCTACCACTTACAAAAATACCTCACATCACCCATTCAACTAATTTGAGACATATTAGTATACTCAAGGTCCTTTTCAAGTCATGGAAATTGCGCTGGATATCATTACAACTTTAGACATCATCATCTATTTTGGCTTTCTTTTCGTAATACTCTTCAATCATTTTCCAATTCCAATCTAAATAAAAGACATTATAGTATTTACTTACAGTAATTTTAAAAAAAATTACTAAAAAAAATTACTAAAGAAAAAAAAATCTAAAATTACATTATTTTCACTGAGTACTGCCAAAAGAAAAAAAATAAAACAATGTCAACACTGTTAAAAACATGTATTTTATTTTTTAATAAAAATTTATTAAAATATTGTAATTTTAAAATATATATATATATTTTTTTTTACAAATCTAACTAATAAACAATACTTTTTCTCTTAATAAAAGTATACAACAAATACTCCATCTTAGTAGTTTGTAGTTTCAGCAACTACAACAATTTTATACGCAATTTTTTCTATACAAGAGTTGGATTATCAAACAACAACAACAACAAATATATTACGCTTTCCAATTTACCATATTATTTATAAGATTTTTTTTTTTTTGCAGTCCAACTCACAAAAAAAAAAAATTCCGGGGAGAAAAATTCCACATTTGATAGTTGTTCCATTTTGCATGACCTACGACCTTCATCCATGATTATAATTGTGTAATCAACATAAGTTAGCAATAATTACTCGATATTTAATAATTTAATAATAAATTTTTTAAAAATAAATTAAATTTAAGTAATATGATATACAAGTAAGATGAATTATCAAAAATAAATTATAATTAAAAAAGTACATATTAATTTTGACTCACAAAATAAATTAGAGTTATAATTTTCAATTATATCATTTTATTTAATTAAAATTAAATTTAAAATTTAAAATTTAAATATTCAGTTTATTAAATGTTAATGTTTATATTTCAAAATTAATTATATTAAAATGTATAATTAAATTTTAAATCTATAATTTAAGACTCTAATTTTCTTTAAAATCAATATTGATATGCACCAATCTTTTATATAGTGAAAGGGTAATAATATAAGGATAACTTTTTATATCATATTTTTATATAATTTTTATATATTATTAAATAAATAAATATAATTAATATTATAAATTTTAAATAAATAAATATATTTCATCATTTAAATAACACAAAAATTTATTAAAAAAATAATATCAAAATATGATATCAAAATCATTTTCCATATTGAAAATGCTCACTACTAAATGACACTTGCACTATATTCCACGTAAGCAACGGATATTGCGCGACTTTCCATAAGCGTAAAGGAATCAGTTCGGGCATTTTACTCTCGTCCCCCTTTCTAACGCTTTCCTCCTCCGCCTGATCCTCTCCTCCCATGGCCTCCACCGCCACCATCAACGGCACAACCACCGCCGCCGACCCAATTTCCCGCATACCCAAGAAATCAAAACTCCCTTCCACTCCTCATCAATTCATCACCCTCGCTGAGATTGTCTCCGAGTTCTCTCATCACCACCCCTCCGTCGCCCGCATCAACAACGGCAGCTTCGGTTCCTGCCCCGCCTCCGTCCTTGCCGCCCAGAAAGAAATCCAGCTCCAGTGGCTTAGCCAGCCCGATGACTTCTATTTCAACCACCTCCAGACGGGCTTCCTCCGCTCACGAACCATCGTCAAACAGCTCATCAATGCCGACCACGTCGACGAGGTCTCTATTGTAGATAACGCCACCACTGCTGCTGCTATCGTTCTGCAGCAGGTGGCGTGGGGGTTCGCGGAAGGGAGGTTTCAGAAAGGGGATGCTGCCGTCATGCTTCACTATGCTTATGGGGCGGTGAAGAAGTCGATGCAGGCCTACGTCACGCGAGCAGGTGGGCATGTGATTGAGGTTCCCTTGCCTTTTCCTGTTACTTGTGTTGATGAGATAGTTCAGGAGTTCAGGAGGGCTCTGCAGAGGGGGAAAATGGGTGGTAGGAGAGTTAGGTTTGCAGTGATTGATCATGTAACTTCTATGCCTAGTGTGGTGATTCCTGTTAAGGAGTTGGTTAAGATTTGTAGGGAAGAGGGCGTTGACCAGGTTTTTGTTGATGCTGCTCATGGAATTGGTTGTGTTGATGTTGATGTCAAGGAAATTGGGGCTGATTTCTACACTAGTAATCTGCATAAGTGGTTCTTTTGCCCTTCTTCCGTTGCGTTTCTGTATTGTAAGAGGTCCATGGAAAGTTGTGATTTGCATCATCCGGTGGTGTCTCATGCGTATGGAAATGGGTTGGCCCTAGAGAGTGCTTGGATTGGGACCAGGGATTATAGTGCACAGTTGGTTGTTCCTAAGGCTTTGGAGTTTGTTAATAGGTTTCAAGATGGCATTGAAGGGATCAAGAAGAGGAATCACCAAGCCGTTGTGGAGATGGGAGAGATGTTGGCCATGGCATGGGGAACCCATCTTGGGTGCCCTCCAGAGATGTGCTGTAGCATGATCATGGTTGGGTTGCCTGCTTGCTTGGGGATTTCAAACAATGAAGATACTTTGAAGCTGAGAACACATCTGAGGGACAAGTTTGGTGTTGAAGTTCCCATCTATTATAGAGAACCAAAGAATGGGGAGGTTGGTCCAGTAACAGGTTATGCCCGAATATGTTACCAAGTTTACAACAAACCTCAGGATTATTACAAGTTTAGGGACGTTATTAATGAACTTGTGCGTGAAGGCTTCACCTGTGAATCTCTTCCTAATTGAAGAGGTATGCGCTACTGATCTCTTCTCAACAATTGGCATTAGGTTGTTACATTTTCTTGCTGTTAATTATAAAGTCCTGCACTTGTTTATATATTTATCACTATCAGTTATTCCATAAGCATGAGCGGTTTTGAATGGAATGAGTGACTTTCTTTCAGGTCAGTTCTTTTGGTGTACTAACTATATTGTATTGTTCTTCTGGCACATGTTTGCTGCTGCATTGCTTATCCATGATGATTTATGGAACACAAGGGAATAATGGTTTTTCTTCCTCTTTTTTCCATTGTTATCAGAACCATACCAAAAGAAAAGAAGGCATTTTTTATAATATTTTTGCAAAACCTAAATAATGGTATATAAGTGAAATTTTAAAGGGGAAAACATTGAAGACTTTTGTGAACGTACATCATTTGATTGAAGATGGGCATTGTAGTTGTGGTTGATCCATTTTACTTCGTTTTCCATTTAAAAACAGATTATTACTTTTATCTACTTTCTTTTGTAGACTATAAACATAAAAATATGACACTGTTTTTTCTTCTTTAGTCATTGATTCAAAAAATAATTAAGGTTATAGTCAAGTGATAGGTATCTTGATTGACAATGCAAGCTGTAGATCTGTACTGAGTTAGCTTCTCTCTTCCTTTGAGGCCATCCATGAATGAAACAACATTCATTTCTTTCTATTCTAATTTTGTGCTATACATTCATTACATCCTTTAGAACTAAATTAGTGTTTAAAGTTTTATCTGTTCATCATAATTCTGCATGTTACCTAGTTAACTTATGTTTATACCATAGAAAGTAAGGCCAATTCAATCAAACCATTTATTTCAGCTGTATAGACATTTCACTTACAAAAGTATACTAGAGAGAATCATTCACCGCCTTCAATATGATTAGGGAGCAAAGATGTAAATATGTTAGATATACATGATGCATTCACCCGCATGAGGGCCAAACCTTCAGGCACTTTGTTCAAAAATGCGTAGACATTATCAACTTACCTGAAATTAAAAAGCAAGAAGGGGTAGATCAGCTGTGTGTTAAGTCATATATAGGCCATGGCTACTGATGCTGCAGGTATATGGTAATAGTAGTATTGAACTGCTACTCAATTCTGCCTCTTTTTTCTCACATGGGGCCCTGGCTGTCTCTATTGTAGCATATTCTTTTCAACATAGGTAATTTGTCAAACATGGGATCCTTATTGCTTATCAATGGAAGTTGACGCACTACTTGGAAGGCAGAAGGATTTGCAAAATCTGAATAAAATGGAACCATCAATATTTTTGTTCATTATTTTCTTAGTAAAATGTATTATTTTTATGAATTAGTCCATTGATTACCCATCGAGTTTTTATATATATAGTTTTTTATTTGGTATTTACTGTTTCATCTATCTGTCTACAGGCCAACATTGTGAACTAGTATTCTGTTGAATAAGAGCCGAGGTATTATCACATCATGGCTGCCTGTGGTTGCTTCCCTACTAGTCATGGTTTCGGTACCATGCTATTTCAAACATGACCAGAGAGAAATGGTTGGTTGTTTGATGCGAGTTTTATGAATTAGGTAGTTGTCTGCTCTGCTTGGATAAACCCAAAACTTTACTTATCATTGTATATAATATATATATTGATTTAAAAATAACTCAAGCTTTGTATGCTCCTGGAAAAAAAGGGCTGAATTTGATGCTTATTTACCCCTTGTTTTTCTGAAGGCCGCAAGGCATATTCAAGGTCAAGAATGGTCAACGCTGGAAAAAATTTTCAAATATTGACCCATGCACTTTTTAACAGACAAAATCTTGACCTTTCTCTCAAAATTTAGGTGTGGCCCTATAGTTGTAGGTTTTTTAGTTTTTTAATATTAAAAAAATATATAAAATATATTAAATATTTATTTTAATTAATATTTTATATATCTTTAAGATAATAATATGACAAAAAACCAAAAGCAAAGCAACCAATGGATAAGTATTCTCAAATGTAACATCAGGCTATCAAGATATAGTCTTTGGTGGAATCGTCAAAAAAGACAAGGAAACAAGATTTGTTAGCCAATGTACATCATTTACAAAGAAAAGCTACAGCTGGTTATTCAACTGAATATCATCACCTCCTCTGAAAGTTCAATTTTCCAACACAAAATGCAAAAAGAAAAGCATAAGCCAGTGGGAATAATATGAGAACAACTGCTGTTAGTGGCAACTGATGATGTTGAAACCCGAAATAATCTTTCAAAAATGAAGCCACTGATTTAGTTTCACCAAATACCAGAATCTTCTTCTGGATATCACCATATTGTGAAGTAAGCATCCCCCTTAGGGACCAAGAAGTAGGAGTCAGGTAATATAACCATATCCACCATCCTGGAATTTGCTGCAGAATCATCAACAAAGAGTTACAATAGTATTATAATACTGCTTTTGGAACATGATCAACAAGCTTTGTTTCCTTTGTCTAAGTTCTTAGAGTGAAGAGGCTTACCGGTTGTGGGATTACAAACCCGGCAAAAAGATTACCAAGTGTATAGAAGACTGAAGAAAGAATTGCAGCCACCAGGAAGTTTGGTGTCAACGATACAAGCGCCATTCCCAGGTAATTGAAGTACAACAGTGTACAGAACATGGCATGGAAGTACCAGTAAACCTTATAAGCAGATGCATAATATCCAATCATTGGATATGTGATTATCAGAACTTCAGCAGCTTGGATAAATAGATAGGGTATCTCAATTATCAGCTGCAAATAAGTTTGTGTATTTAGCAGATAAGAAAATTTGGCTCAAGATATGTCCTAATCAGGTGCAAACAAAACACTCTTACCTGTGCAAAAGCATAGGCCCATGGAGAGTACATCCCTGCAAATCTTTCCCTATACATGACAGTTCTCTCTCTTTCGATATGGGGTAATGCTGTTGAGCAGTTATTGATGCCCAAGAATATCGCAGTAATATACATGGAACCAAGTACATTGAATAAATTCTGCTGGTCATCTCTGAAATAATCAGAAAATGAATCAGATATACATATACATTCGAAGTAATGTCAGACACAAAATTGTATACCGCAGCAAACATAAAGAAAGTAGACATAGACTCACATTTTCTGTCCTTGGTTCCAAAAGAGTACACCAAAAAGAAAAGATGACACAAAGGCAAATATAATGCGCAAGAGGTTGTAAGAAGGGGTTCTCCAATAAGACAAGTTCCGTTTCCATAGGCAAGATTTGAATTGTTCCCAACCATTCTGTGCAAAATGGGATGGGAAATGCAGATCTTTGGATCCAGGAGGTGGGCTACTCAACTGCTTTACCAGTTCTATATTGTTCCTGCAAATGTAAAAATGATAGAAACACTTTTTTATACCTGTTAAACAATAGGCAGACACCATAATGATAATACTGCCACATAATGAGCCAAATGATATTTGTTAAATATTCAACTTGCAAATCAGTAGAACCAATAACTGTTTGATTTTGTACTCACTCATACAAAGCAGAACCCTGGTATATTTGAGCAAAATCTACACCAAGTTCAGCTTCTGCAGAAGGAGAAGTGACTTCTAAAATCCAGGTAGCGGGATTATAATTCTCTCTGATCTTCGGTACACCAGATATACCCTATTGACAAAAGCAGTTTCATAAAACAAGATTTATCAAGGAAATGTTGCTGTTTACAAAATGAAAATTGAAGAGTATACAAGATCTCAAAGAAGCATTGCACATACTTCAACAACAAACTAACCTCAAAATATTCAATAACCTCAGTCGAATGTTGTCCCACTGGTCCAAAATATATTACACTACCACCATTTTTCAAAACAATCAACTACAATGAATAGAAAAGATGTCAGTTATGCTAAATAGCACTACAGCAAAAACTTTTAAAATGGAACCTTGGAGACTAATGTGTGACATTCTTGTCACTCAATTGTTCAAGAATTATTTTTCCCGTTCATACTTGTGAAAGACATGGAAAATTAAGCATTTGATGAATTTCCTATGCATGGATGAACCTTCAATAGATTAATTAAGGTAAGTTCTCCAAAAGTTACACAAAAGAAGAAACTCTCACTATCAAAGATTCAATGCATATTACCACTAGCGAATCCTGTCATTTCCTCTTTTGACTGATAATCTGAGTAAAGAAAGAGATGTGTCACCTCATCAAAGGCTTCAAATATATCTATACTTGGCTGGTGAATTGTGCACACGATTGTTCTTCCGGTATCAACTACATTCTTTACTGCTCGCATGACAATTGCTGCCGCTCGTGCATCCAAGCCAGTAGTAGGTTCATCCATAAAGATTATTGAAGGGTTGGCAACAAGCTCCACAGCTATTGTAAGACGCTTGCGTTGCTCAGTTGATAGACCACTAACCCCAGGGATGCCAACTAATGCATCCTTAATTTCATCAAGTTCAATGGTCTCAAGGACTTCATTCACGAATTCCTGTCATAAATGCAACAGGAAATCAGTTAAAGATAATCTCAGCAATATTTAACAATGACAATAAAACATGACTTGTCTTACATCTTTTGTTTTTGATTCAATTTCAGGGGCCAAACGCAACCAAGCAGAGAAAATCAAAGATTCTTCCACAGTGAGTTGAGGGGAATGTATGTCAGTTTGCTCACAGTAACCAGAAATCCTAGCAAAAGTTTCTTGAACCTTAGGGTAGCCTCCAATTTTTATTTCCCCTTCAATATACCCAGTAGTTTTTCTCCCTGCAAGAACATCCAGAAGAGTTGTTTTCCCAGCTCCACTAATGCCCATCAGTGCTGTAAGAACACCAGGTCTGAGGGCACCTGAAATATCTGAAAGAAGTTGGAGTTTTTCCTGATCAAACCCCCGTTCTCTCATTTCCTGATATCAAGAGGAAACAATCAGGCAAAGGTAGGGATAAGCATTATGCATCAAATGGCTCTAAAATATCTTGCATTGAGATGAACCACTGGATGAAAGACTTGGTTGATTACCAAAGGCACATCGACATAATACTGCAAATTCTGAAATACTACTGTTAAGGGTTCAAAAGGTAAAACCATCCTGCCTGCAGATGGAGACAAGGAGCCATAAGGTTGAAAATTAAAAGAGCAAAGATATATAGTTTATATTGTACAATTTGGAAGAATAAAGTGTGAAAGAACCTGAACCAACCTCTCCTTGATTCTTTCAAATTAGGGTGAGAGTTTATATCCTTTTCTTCCATAGTTGCAAAATTAGATGAATCTTCTCTCCCTTGCATACGGGAAAGCTTTTCTTGCGAAACAATGGCACGAGAAGCTCTTGGAGCTGCATATGTAATCAATTAAGTGAACAAACTAGTTAAACTACTGCCCCTCTAACCCCAAGTCAAGTAAAAGAAAAAAGAAACAGTTACCTTTGAAAAAACTTAAGGCTAAGGTAAAGCCAATATTAAAAACTAATGCAAACCCAAACAAAGCACCAAGTGATATCCAGAAAAGATTTCCATCAAAATTTAGTCCACGGCTTTCCAGTATCACTTTCCCCATTGTAGTATTTGTTATGAGGATCTACAAGCAAGAAAAAGGCAGATTAGAAGGATTTTTATGCTCTGAATTTCTAATGTAAAATTAAGGGCATGGGGGGCTACATTCAGCAGATGATAAGTGAATATTGTCATGCAAAAATATGTACTTTAACAGTTTACAGTCTATTTTTATAATTCGAGAACTTGATGGAAAAAAAAAATTACATAACCTGCATTAGTATTAAATGGTTTCCTGATAACTCAACGTCAGAGGATAAAGAATGGGAATGAACGAACACGTATTACATGGTAGTTCAGTTGCTGCAACCTAAGAGCGGTTGAACATAGTCTAGCTTAGAGTCAAGCAGCTGACAGCATGCAAGCTTGGAACTGAAGATTGAAGTTCATGTTGCTGATTGGAGCATTTGGGAAGGAAATAACATTTTGAAATAACAATGATGATAGCAAGAGTTTCTGATATACTAAAAGATGAAGGTTATATCTACCATCTTTTTCTGGAACAGTTATGCCCTTTAGCCAGTACAACCCAAAAATTCCAAATGTATATGCTCACCTTTTGCCACCGCAGAGCAAGGAATTCATTAACTGAAAGGCCTATCTCAGCATATGTCAGAGGGGACAGCCAAAAAGCCCACTTCAACCAGACAGGCATGGAGGCTGCACCAAATGCAAAGCATGAGTGTATTTTAGTATGGCCAAAGGCCCAGATACCCGTGCTATCGCAAAAAAAAAGAGGTTGATGCTCTTAATCAGAATGAAAAAGGTCTTAGTCCTTACGTTTTGAGATAATAAAGCCACCAAATAGAAAGGTAAGTAACATTGTAAAACTACCAGCTGTCATAGAAGCATCTCCAGTTTGGAAGATTGAAGCCAGGAAACGGAACATGGATATTGATGCAAAGTGAAGAGCAACAAGTAGAATTAACTGGCGGAAGAACCTAAGATACATCACATAATCAAAATTTAGAGTCAGGAAATGCAGAAACTTTAGAATGCTTACCTGTACAGAATTTCCAAAACTTTAAAGAGTGAAGCTGCGTGCATGAATTGGCAAAAAAAAATTCTTACAAAACAATAATTTTCATTACATAAATTCAAACCAAAAGTGAAAAATTAAAGGAACACCTTCTCTAGAGGATTTAGTTAGACTAAAAATTTTCTTTTTCAATTGAAACTCACCTTGAAGCCTCAGGGCTGTAACCAATGACATAATATGTAAGAGATGTCCAAACAAGAGCTACCAGAAAAGAAAGGGGAATCTTTAGAATGGTGGCTGGAATGGCATAGGCCCATGCTGGGTAAAAACGCAAATCTTTCTGCTTATAGAAAACTTCAAGTCTTGCAGTAGTGATAGACAACTCTGGAATCCCGTCCACAAGAAATAGAACAGTGGTAAAGAAAATGGCACCCATGTAGTACATCCCATGAAGAATATCAACCTCCATCCGAGTCCGCAAAAATAAAGTCATTGTGATTGATGCAACCATGGCTAGCTGCAGAAATTTGGATGTTAACATTGCTCAAAATTTTCAAGGAACCAGTTCAATTTTATACTAACATTAATAGGAACAATAACAACTTCAACCCGAAGAAAGCAGACACACAGAATGAGACAACATGAATTATGAGAGAATGCAGGATTAAGAATTATAACCTGAATTATTTTAAAAACATAAAGAAAAGAGTTCCTCCTCATTAGAAGAAGCTCTCTTGACATGCAAGCTCTAAACAGTTCCCACTTTGAAAGAGAATACATGCTAAAGGAGAGAGCGTCCCTGTGGCTTTTGGATTTATCACATGGCAATGAAAGATCCTCCTCAATTATCTTCCCAATGGTATAATCCTTGAATTTCCTAGACAACATATCCACTGATATGTAACTGTAGGGAAGTTCATTGTGGTACCAGTACTGGGCTTGATCCTTTTTAGATATGACCTGCAATATCAAAATCAAATAGTGATCCAGTCAAAACTGATGAAAATACAGTGTATCAATTCTCAGGGAAGTAATTAGAAACCAGCACTTACCTCTTGAATAAAATCAGCAACCCCTTTCCTTTCAGGGCAACGAAACCCACAATCATCAAAAAATTGTAGAATCTCATCACATGGACCATGATACACTATTTTTCCCTCTGCCATCAAAATAATGTCATCAAAAAGATCATAGGTCTCTGGTGCTGGCTGCAGAAGTGAAATCAGTAGCGTAGCATCAGTGATATGCACTAGCTGCTGGAGACAAGCCACAATCTGAAATGCAGTTGAACTGTCTAAGCCATTTGTTATTTCATCCATAAACAAAGCTCTTGTGGGACCTACAACCATCTCCCCTGCATAAACCATTTCAAGAATTTGTAGTTCAAAAACGAAGAAGATATAGAATTCAATTTTTAAAGATAAAATCTTGCTGGGATCTGTATCATGTTAATAGTTCATTCTGCCAACCTACCTGTAGTCAAACGCTTTTTTTGGCCACCTGAGATACCTCTTCTCATCACGTCTCCGACTAATGTGTCAGCACAGATATCTAGTCCAAGTATCTGAGAAGCCAAAAGACAGTTAAGTTATTCTTCAACAATTTTTAGAAATGAATACATTAAGAAGTTCAAATGCAGCTGTGTTGAGGAGAATTACTTTTAAAATATAGTCTGTTTGAAGGGTTGTTTTGAGTCCTTCGACAGATATTGCCTGTTAATCAACACTCACAGCTATCATTTATAGATAATCAAAATATGCCATTAGAAACAGTATAAAGAAGATAACATTGAAAAATAACACAGACAAATCCCTTGTACATTGATTCACTCCCAAAAGTTTACACAGTACGTTGGAGCTATATCCATTGGCTAAAAACGTGGACAAGCAAAGAAAAAAAAAAATCAAAAATTCTATATTTACCTTCATGTAAGTATCAACCACTGGATCTGGAATTATTCCTGCTTGCTTCTCTCTCCTGCTTACCTCCCTCATAATCTCTTTAGAGGCAGAAAAATTGTAGTTTTTATCAATTTCATGCATAGATATGGTGGCCGGAATTGAACCAAGATTAATTTATCCTCAAGGAAAACTTACCAGCTCGGCTTCCAATACCCTGACACCGAGCTGAGAAATCAAGGATTTCCCTCACAGTCATCTCAGCAATGTGAAGATCATATTGGCTTATGTAAGCAGAAGTTTTCTGGGGAACAAACTCATCTAATTTGTAACCATTATAGGAGACTTCCCCGCTGATCTATCAATAAAAATGAAAAACAAAAAGATAAACAAATGGCAATTGAAAATCTGCAGATGAAATAGGCAAGACACACAAGTGTCTTGTAGCAGGAAAATTTGAAGTTTAAAATTCCAACAACATTAATGCCAAAGAACATAATACTTAGTGACATGATATGTTTCCTGTCATTTTAAGAAAATAACACAAGAATAAGTGTCAAACCTTGAGAGAATTGTCTAAATTTCCTGAGAGAGCCTTTAATAGGGAGGTCTTTCCACATCCAGGAGGACCCGACAGCAGAGTCATCCTACAACATGTTTGAGAATTACTTCAACACATTTTCCCTGTTATGTTGGGTAACATTCCTCAATTTTTTCATGTACATCTATGGATACAAATTTTACTAATCTACCTTCCAGGCTTTATGTTGCCACTGACATCATTAATGATTCCTATCTTGACTTCGCGGGACTTAACACCTGAAAGCTTTGCAATATCCTGGAGAAAAAGGTTGAACAAGCCTATAAATTCACAAGGACAAACATGCACTAAATATTGAGGAAGGATAATGGACATGGTCAGAAAAAATATAAGAACTAGGTGCCATCAGTACTACATCTTCAGGAAATCCCTTGCAGTGCAAACCATTTATGCTCATGTAATAGATCAGAAAGTTTGGTGCATTATTCATGTAGTTATACTTTTCTACTCTTACAATAACTGGGCTGGGTTTAAGAAAGTCAAAAACAGAGACAATGATAATATCTCAAATTACTTTTGAAAAAGTAAGCTACTTACAGAAACAGTGCTGCTAAGAGATGTCCACAGAGTTGGGAGAGGCTTTCCCCGAACTACCTGACACTCAGCTTTCACACTCAAATTCTTATATCTTACCTCTATAGTGGGCAGCTTTACACCAATTCTGCAAGATCCAAGCCATATTAATCATATGCTGAATTTATTAGTGAAGTCCTGAATGGACTACCTAAGGCATCACTTATATTCATGCAAAGTTTGGAAGGAAGAAAAATACTTTAGGAACAGTAATACAAAAGAACGTAGTAATAACCATATCACCACCCAAATGCATGTTTTCATGTATCATTGCTGCCAATCTACACACAGGCAGCTATACATAAACACACGCACCCATCCCCCAATCCACCTTACCAATTATCAAACCATTCACCCAGACAGGCATATAAGAGACACGGAAAGAACAGTGATTGATAAAAGGGAAAGGCTTACTTGTCTATTCTAGCTCTTATTTTCCTCAACAACTTAAGATTGTCGTTTTCAATGTGTTTGATGAGCCTCTCCACAAATGTATGCCGCTCTCGATCTCCAAGCATGGTTGCATCAATCACTTTTTTTCCCTTATCTTTGTCAAATAAAGATGACCTTAGTCTCTCAAATGTAGGCAATCTCTCAATTACAGCCCATTGGGTTGCATATTCAACATCAGCATCATCCTTCCTTGAACTATTTGGGGAACTTCTTCCAATCCCTGACAACTCAACACTGAAGAACTCTATCTCATCTTCATCGATCATCTGTGCCATATTTGATAGCTTTAAGGGATCTAAACTTTGATGGCATACTGGAAAGAATGGATCTATATATACATACAAGCTTCTGCTTTCATCATTCTATATATATCATGATTAATTAAATATAGGTGTTGAGGATGACATGCAGTACAATAACAATAAGTATTGAATAGAATATTTATTTTATTTTTAGTTTCTCGTGTACCACCCGTTTCCCTTGTTACACCTTTCCCTTGGTGTTTAAGAAACTGATGAATGTGCTTAAAAGACAAGGTGGAAAACAGTTGTGAACATATAATTAAGAAAATTAGGGTACAGAAAAAATTAATGAAATGTAAAGAGGCAAATTAGAGATGCAACAAGGCTATTTATTTATAAGTTAAAACGAGAGTACTATAATCAATTCTTAACATGATGGAAATTAACAGATTAACAATCACGACTATCTTGTGAGCCACACCAGAACATGATGTAATCAAATAAAATAAAGTGGTGAATCAAGAATTAACGTCTTGACCAAGACAAAATCAAAGTGATAAATCGTTGAAAATTTACTGGGTCGATCTGCAACTGCCAGGATAATGTATTATAGTAAGGGAGGGTTTCAACTGAGAGTTGACCAATTAAAGGCAATTTTCCCTGAAAACATTAAACAATCCTTCATATATATATATATATATATGTAAAAGTGCATATCAACCCGAACTCCATAAAAAAAATTGGAGTCCCAACCAATAAATTTATATATATATATATATATATGTGTGTGTGTTATTAAGCATTACATATTGAGTATTGAACAACATGAAATGAGAATTCCAATGAAGAACAATAATAAATAAAGGGTTTGTCTATCTTATGTTCTTAGAACACAAGATAAGAAACAATCATTAGTTAATAATTATCATTTTTTTTTAAAAATGTGAGATTTTAAATTAAAAAATTAAATTCTGATTTTAATTCAAAATGAATGAATCAAAAATTAACATGTAGCATTTTTAATTAAAACAAAAGTCAACTTTACTATTTTTAAGATAAAAAACTATAATAATTACACAATTATTACTTCTTGGGACACAAAATAGATAAACCCATAAATAAAAGCCTGGATTAAGGGATGGAATAGATCATGTCCCTTCCTCCCTCCCTCCTCATTGAGGAAATATGGAAATTGGAATTACCCACTTTTAAGTTGCTGGCAATTGAAATCATTTCGAAAACCTGACTAATATGGGGTTTAATTAATTAAGCTGACTTATGGTTCAACAGATAAAGATATGAAAAAGAAAGATGGAAACCAACACTTTACCATGGCGTTCATGGTATCCCAGGTTATTGTTGGAGTGGAGTCTATTGTGACTGGGGCTTCCATTTCTACTTGTGTACTAAAAATAGAATGCCTTTTCTAAACCAAACAACCTTCGCAATGAATTAGAGGATAAATGTAGTAGTGATTAACTAAAGTTACCAGAGAGTTGGTAAATACTGTCAAGTACCATAAAGAATAGCTATAAACGTACCTGCTTTATTTTTCTTTCACGAAGTAAATCTTAGGTTGGTCAAACCTGAAACTTTTTGATGCATTTCAGTTATGGCACTAATTAACTCTTTCTACAAGAAAAATATACCAAACAATTAAATATTGAACTGTTTTTAGTTTTTTTTTTTTTTGGATAAAATGTAAAATCTTATTTATCTAGTAACTACTGATTGTATACAAAAACAGCATATTGCTACTACAGTCAATCAAGGGGAACTATTAGTGAAAGACTACTGTACTTAGCTCATCCCCCATCTTATTACAATATCTATGGACAAAGGGGAAGATTTAGGGTTAACAAGACCTAACACCTTATTCCTGACATCATATTGAACATCCCAAACAAGCATCATTACTGAAATAAACTGTTGTTGATGAATCTGCCTGTTCCTTTCTCTCCAATTATGGTAAACTGCTGCAGTCCATGCCAACTTCACAAGGATATCATGCAATGACTTCCTTCTAACTGTCTTCCCCATCGATGGTAACAAGCTCTGCCGTGTACCAGTGAAAGGTATTCCTGCCATTTCACATAACTTGTACCGTTTCACAGTCCAAACTGCATAACTTGAGTTGATGGTCTCAATGTTGTCAATATTTGTGTGTCTATGGCTATACATATCAGTTTACTACTAGTGTTTTACATACAGTATCTAATTATTTTGTGTATCATTTTATTTTTTTACTAATTTACTACTAGTATGACTAAGGCATGGTCAGTCCTCGAACTCACTGCAAACGCCACCGAGCTAAAAGAGACATTTCAAGGCATTCCCAAATTTAGACGATATCTGTTTGTTTGATTCAAGTTGCGTTCTGGGAACTCTGGTCATTGGCAGAAGAGGCCATGCCATGGGCACTCAGAACTTTCTTTCTAGTCAGGTCCACGTTATGGACACTAAATCCAGAAAAAAAAAAAGGGGCTGGGTTTTAAGTAAACTAACGGTACCATTTATCTTACAGGAGAAAAATTCACATCCAGAATACATGGCCTTACTAAATAACTGTCTTCCCTGCTACCTTTAAGATCAGTTAGGAAAAACTGATTTAAATCAACATACAACTCAAGAGATAATCTTGAGAGACATGCAAAAGATTAACATAAATTGAGCTAGAGAGGATGTTCAAATTTTGCTATTGATTTTCCATGTCTTTTTTTTATCAATTCTGGTGTGCTTTTGTACAAAACAACACCAGTCACATATAATGTTCACCTCGTACATTTGAATAATGATGTAAATCCCTTAAAGCAAGGAACATGGTACATGAATACAATTAAAGCCAAACCATACATCTAGGTGCAACACTTTACATCAATGAACATAAGAATTACATTGAAAACCAAACAAAGAAACTTCCCAGCAACTTGATGAAACTGAACTGGACATAAACAGTGCACGTGAACGGTAACCTTGCTGCACTGTTCCATTTATCTTCAGCAGTACCTGCTGCAGTGAAAGTCTGGAACTAGATTTTGTGGCAATGAAATTCAAATTTGTTAAGGAATTATGAATATTTCAAATGTTTTTGGACGTTAAACCCACGCATATGCTGCATCATATGCTTGAAGATTAAAAATTTCCTATATTTTTTAAGCTTTTTTGGTGAAAGGTGTGTTTAGTCTTCTATAGGATATATCTGTAGTATATATGAGTATTCTGTCCATGTTTATGGATGTGCTTTGTTCTCAGTACATAACTAACTTGTAAAGTGACTTCTAATGAACTGACATACCACAGATTTATTGGAGCACATGATGGCCCTACCTCAAATCTCATGCCAACTGATATTTAGCATTTTAAGGTAATAGAATTTGCTTCCAAAACATTTTAAGGCTTTCAAGAAACCAAAAGGGTTTTGTGCTACAATTTTTAGAAATTAATTCTGTCTCCATTTCAGACTCCCAAAAGAGAATTTCTTTCTTCAATTCTCATTTCCATTTTAGAGTCAATACTAAAACTACCATTATTCAACATCTTGTCACACTTATTTCCAGAAAAAAGTGTTTCAATTAAATGGGACATCAAAAACTCTTCTGGTTTTCCATTCGAGAAAGCTTTTTGGTTGCTAAAAGGATTTCAAGTGCAAATATGAAAGTTCAAGCCCTATCCAACAAGGAAACAATACTAATAGATAATTATGTTTCGCAGTGTAAATTATATTATATTACAAGACATAAATCATTAGATTAAAAGGGAGTTTCAAATATAAAAAAACTTGTCTCATTCAATTATTTTAATTATATAATTTAAATTACACAAAAAATACTAATATGAGATATATCATAATAGTAGTAAATAAATATAAAAATAAAATGATGCACAAAATAATTAGATACACTGTATGTACCATAATAATAGTAAAATTGATGTGTATAGCCATACACAGAAATTGACAACATTGTGACCATCTCTTATTATATATGGTCCACCCTTTAAATAAATAAAAATGCAAGACTTAAAAAACATATCCTTAATGGAAGTGCCTTCATGTTTTTCGTTTATAGTGTTTGGATTATTTTAATATGTGTCTTAAAAATATAGGTTAAGAGTTTTTTTTAAAAAAAGTAATATTTAATTTATTAATTGTGTAATTAAATTTATTCATATGATAATGACATTAAAATTAATCTTTATTTTTATTTTTTTGTATAAATTTATTGTAAAAAATACTCTTAATCTATCTTCTAAAAGCACAAATTAAAAAATTACATAATATTTTAATAAATTCAAAACTTAAAATACAAAAAAAAAAAAAACAGCTTTTATTGAAATATACTTTTCTTATTATTATTTTTTTAAAAAAAAGGGCTGGCTCAAAGTTGTTTAACACCCCCAAAGAAAAAGGAGGGAGGAGGTGAGGGGTTGCGGTGGCTGGCTCAAAGGCTGAAAGGTTTCCAAAACGTCCCTTAAACCCTAACTCTAGGTTTTTTTCGCTCAAAAGAAAATCAAAATGGTGGGTGTGTCGATTCTGCTACATGGAGCCAGATTTGTAGATGATCTCACGGAGGTGACTGGGGCATGGTTCGTCCTCGAACTCACCGCCAGCGGCACCGAGGTCAAAGAGGCATTTCAAGGCATTCCAAATTTAGAGGATTTCCGTTTGTTTGATTCAACTTGTGCTCTGGTCGGTCATTATTTGTGCGTCATCGGCGGAAGAGGCCACACCATGGACACTCTGCGTTCTGGACACTGAAAATCCAGACGAAAAGGGGCTGGGTTTCAAGCAAATTAACCGTACCATTTATCTGCCCCAGGCCAACCGTGGCGGCCATTGGTGAAGGTATCTTTGTCTTCCGTTCCTCTGGCCGAGACTCAGGTAATGTCTCTTGAAATGAAAATGAATTAAGATATATAAATTTTTTCAGGACCAAAAACCAGAAACTTTTCTTCAGGAAGTTCAAATTCACAAGCACATCCATCTGGCAACAAATTTGGAATTCCTATTTTCCGGAAGAAAATGATATTTTTGAACAAATTCATTTCAGTCTGTGTTATACTGTCATACTCCAAGGATTGGTTAAATAAATTCATTTCAGACTGAAATAAAGGGTTGTTGGATTATTTTCGGCAAAACATGCAGATCACCCCCTTAACTCACCCACTGATGGAAAATTACCCCCTCAACTCACTTTACGCGCAGATCACCCCTCAACTTAACTGCAGTGGCAAATCACCCCTTTGTTAACGCCGGCACCATCCTTCCGTTAGCTTTTAACAGTCCATTCAGCAACCCCTCTTTTGCATCTGATGTGGCATTTTTGTGTTGAGATGGATGCTGAGATGGACAAGTCACCTGGACAAATACCTTAAAATTACTTTTATATCCTTAAATTCTAGGGAAATAAAATTGGGAATTTGGGGATCTAGGGTTTTATTTTTGCAGGTTTTATTTTTTCCAGCTTCTATCGTCTTCTGTAGTTTTCAACACTATAGAGGACTACACGCCATGACGAATAACGCCCCGTCGTAGGCACAGCGAAACCAAGACGACAACCATGTATCCCTCACCATCCCCTTGCTGTCCCGCCACCGATCCACTTCCAACTCCTCTTCTCAGGTTGCCATCGTTGGCGCCAACATCTGTCCCATCGAGAGCTTCGACTACGAGTGAGTAATTTAGCATAGTGCTAAGTTACTCCATTTTTCTGCAGTTTCTCGAATTGTTTATCACTCATTGAATTTTGGATTCGCAGGATTGTGGAGAATGATTTCTTCAGGCAGGACTGGAGAGCCCGCGGAAGCATCCATATTTTCTAGTACATATTTATGAAGTAGCTGCTGTGTTTCTTGATTGGCATCATTGTTAGTCTCATCGGCTTCTTCAACAATCTCGCTGTTGAGAATATTGCAGGCATCAAGTTCGTGGTCACCTCGAACATGATGTTGATGGGCAGGTCTCTTCCTTTTAATTTGCTAATTTAGTGGAAAATTTTCATCCAAATTAAATTGAACTCTGAAGAGGAATTGTTCGAAGCACTTCCGAATTTGCTGGATAAGTTTTTCTATTGAGAATTATAACTTTTTTTTTTCTTTTGATTTTTATCTGAAGTTCCTGTTTTGGATACAGGTATGGGATGGCATTTCTGGTGTTCTCTATTTCCAATCTGGTTCTTACTTTCTTTGCCGCTAGTCTCACGGCCTTCGTCGGGCCAGTAGTTGCTGGTTCCGGTATTCCGGAAGTGAAGGCCTACTTGAATGGGGTTGTTGCGCCCGAAATTCTATCCTTTCAAACTTTAGTTGTTAAGGTTATTCTTCTCATTTCTAAGTGTTTCAACTACTAATTTAAATTCTTGGATTTTCCAATATCTTCAGCTGTTTCGTCATTGGAAATTGGGATCCCGCCAAGAAATTTGCTTGATCTGATGATTTTGGGGTCATTTGTCCAGGTGGCTTGTCCATCTCAGCATCCATCTTAGCAAAAAAATGCTGGTATTAACAGAGGGGGTGATTTGCCACTGCAGGTGCAATGAGGGGTGGTCTGGGGTGATTTGCCACCAGTGGGTGAGTTAAGGGGTGATCTGCATGTTTTGCCATTATTTTCAGTAGGATTTCTACTTTTAGTCCAGAGGATGCAGAGCTTGTAGTCAGCTATGGGAACTAAAAATGGTTTGCTGTCAGTTTTGGGATTCAAGTTTTTCAAGGACAGAGAGATAGGACCCATCAGAATTTTGCACCAAGACATATAGATATATGATTACCTTCTCATTATAGAAAGATAGATAAATTTTTCCATTGAAACCGTAGTTAAAGGACCAAAAACGGCAGACTTATACTCTGAAGCAAGACTTAGAGGCAATCTAGATTGGTAGTGGACACAATTAACAGTACCATTTATCTGCCCCACACCACTCATAACTTTCTTTAGAGGGAATAGAGGGTGCTTAAAAGTCTCTGGTTTTTGGTCCTTTAACTACGGTTTCAATGGAAAGATTTATCTATCTTTTTGTGAGGAGAAGGGAATCATATATCTATATGTCTTGGTGCGAAATTCTGATGGGTCGTATCTCTCTGTCCATGAAAACTTGAATCGCAAAACTGACAGCAAACCATTTTTAGTTCCCATAGCTGACTACAAGCTCTGCATCCTCTAGACTAAAAGTAGGAATCTTACTGAAAACAATCAAACAACCCTTTATTTGGCCGAGGTAGATGTTTGGGAGGATCCTCTAGTCATTCAAAGGAGAAGCATGATTTGATCGCTTGCAGTTTAAGCAACTGTCTACTGTTGTTAGTGCCTTCCTCTTTTCTTTTAATTTTTTGTAGCTTTTAGAAGATATATTTGTTGATTGTGGACTGATTTATCTTTGTTGGTTGGCAGTCCTCCTGAGCCTGAGGAAGCACTTAAAGGGAAAGAAGTAGGTCCTGATGCATTCGTCAAATACTCTTTACCCTCTTACTAAACTATTCTAGTTGTCATACCTGCTATTTTTAGACTGGAAATAGATTGCCTTTTCTAAACCAAATAGCCCTTTACTCAACCGCTAGTTTCTACTCATTCAGAGGAAAATTTTGATTTGAATGCCTGCTGTTTATACGACAGTCTTCTGTTCTTAGTGCCTTTTCTGCGTTGGTTGGTAGGGATACATCTCTAGATCTAAATGGAGATGGAGAAAAGTCGACACAGATCAGGCTTAGGCTTCTCCAAAAAATGTGATGGAAGGGAAAGGGTCTTGGGAAGGGTGAGCTAGGTATGCCATTGATAATGTTCTTATCGTTTCCATTTTCCTCTTATATGATGTTGAGCATTTTCTCTTTTTGACCATTTTCCATCTTACATTTTCAGTTTAGAAGGTTGGATTTTTGGGACTTTGGATGGATAGTCATCTTAGCATTAATGTAAATAGTAATAATCTTGTGCATCTTCTGCTTGTGGACTTTGAAGGCCTTTTGATTAAAAACATGGGTATAAATTTGCAAATGAGGTTCTGACTTTTGAAATACTTTTGTTTGCTTATTTTCCTTTTTGTTCCTTTTTTGTGGTTTGTCCAAGTTGCATCAGATTGTTATTGTTGTGATGTAGAAAATGATATTTTTGAACAAATTCATTTCAGTCTGTGTTATACTGTCATACTTCAAGGACTGGTTAAATTTATTTTCTTTATAACCAATAATTGTTGTTTATGGCAGGAATTGTTGAGCCTATAAAATTTAGGATGAATTACAACAGACCAGTGATTGGAGAAGATGTTACTTATGATATTGATGACACTGAAGAGAATCAACTAGATATTGAAAGACGATTGAGGTGGCAGCAGCAGTATGTACTTAATCTTTTAGATGGTGACTTTTTTTTTTTTTTTTTTTTTATCTGTTATTGGATAATAGTGATTATCTACTTGTGTACTAAAAATGGAATGCCTTTTCTAAACCAAACAACCTTCACAATGTTGAATTAGAGTATAAAGGTAGTGATTAACTAAAGACACCAGAGAGTTGGTAAATACTGTCAAGTACCATAAAGAATAGCCATAAACGTACCTGCTTTATTTTTCTTTTGCGAAGTAAATCTCAGGTTGGTCAAACCTGAAACTTTTTGATGCATTTCAGTTATGGCACTAATTGCAGATGTTCCTGAGAGGCTGTGTTATCATATTCCCATAACAATTTGCTTAAATTCCAGGGATCAGATAAGCTTTTCCACAGTGAACGATGAAATAATAGCAAAAGCTGAATGGAGCATCAATATGAATGGATTGTGGAAGTTGTAACTTTTTCATACAGGTTTGTACTCTTCATTGTTGTTTTAACTTGTTAGGAATATGAATTTTGAGAATTAAACGTGCATATTCTCCTTCTCCCTTTATATTGGGAAAATGGATGGTTCTAATTTGACCTGAAATCTATGATGTGTAAATCCTCTTAAAAACTTGGTCAAAATTTTCCTCTAATTCCAATTGCATTTGATGAGGATGTGTCAAAACTTAGCTTTGGTAGAGGTCAGAGGAACCATTGTTCCCCTTTTCTGCAGTGGTTTGTCAATAGAGGAATGCTTGCCCTCCTCTCTTTCTCTCCACTTTCTGGTATGTGACCTGGAGAGTTTGAGTGCCTTATCCACATACATGCATCGCTGGAGCTGCCTATGGCATTATTTACTATCCCTATCTTACAGGAAAAAAATTCACATCCAGAATACATGGCCTTACTAAATAGTTGTCTTCCCTGGTACCTGCTGCGGTGAAAGCCTGGCACTAGATTTTGTGGCAATGCAATTCAAATTTGTTACGGAATTATGAACATTTCACATGTTTTTGGATGTTAAACCCATGCATATGCTGAATGATATGCTTGAAGATTAAAAATTTCCTATAATTTTTTAAGCTTTTTTTAGTTGAAAGGAGTGTTTAGTCTTCTGTAGGGTATATGAGTATTCTATCCATGTTCACGGATGTGCTTTGTTCTCAGTACATAACTAATTTGTAAACTGACTTCTAATGCACAGGCATACCACAGATTTATTGGAGCACATGATGGCTCCATCTCAAATCTTATGGCAACATAAATTTGGCATTTTAAGGTAACAGAATTTGTTCCAAAACTTTCTAACGCTTTCAAGAAACCAAAACGGTTTTGTGCTACAATTTTTAGAATTTAATTCTGTCTCCATTGTGGATTCCCAAAAGAGGATTTCTTTCTTCAATTCTCTTTTCAATTTTAGAGTCAATACTAAAACTACCATTATTTGACCTTTTGTCACTTACGTCCAGAAAAGTGTTTCAATTAAATGGGACATTAAAAACTCTTCTAATTTTCCCTTTGAGAAAGCATTTTGGTTGCTAAAGGGATTTCAAGCGGAAATATGAAAGTTTAAGCCCTATTCAACAGGGAAGCAATATTAATAGAGAATCAGGTTTGTAGTTTTGACTATATTAGACTGCAAAACATAAACTAATCGATTGGAAGAAGACTCCCAACATCAGGAAACTCATCTTATCCAACAATTTTAGTTGTGGTCTGAACTACACAACAAATACTAATGTGAGATATATCATTGTAGTACTAAATTAATATAAATATAAAATGGTACACAAAATAATTAGATATAATGTATGTAATGTAGTTGTAGTAAAATTGATGTGTATAGCCATACATAGATATTGGCAACATTGTGACCATCTCTTATAAAATCCACTCTACAAATAAATAAAAATATAATACTTAAAATACATACCCTTAATGAAACTGCCATTCATGCTTTTTCATTGATGGTGTTATGATCATTTCAGAGCTTAAAATACACAAAAAAAAAAAAAAAAAAATACAGCCTTGTATTGAAAAACGATTTTCTTATTAAAAAAAAATGGCACTTTTCTTATTAAAAAAAATGGCATTTTAAAGTTGGTCGTACCAAAATGAAGGTTGGGGCTACATTGTCTATTTACAAAAATGTTGGGACTAAGAAGTTGTTTAACACAAAGAAAAAAAAAATGGGTCGGTGGCTGGCTCAAAGGCGGTATGGTTTCCAAAATATCCCTTAAGCCCTAACCATAGGCTTTTTCGCTCAAAGTCGATTCTTCTACATAGAGCTAGATTTGTTGATGATCTCACGAAGATGACTGAGGCATGGTTCATCCTCGAACTCACCGCCAGCGGCACCAAGCTCAAAGAGACATTTTAAGGCATTCGAAATTTAGAGGATTACCGTTTGTTTGATTCAAGTTGCGCTCTGGTCCGTCACTATTTGTGCCTCCTTGGCGAAAGAGGCACACTCATAACTTTCTTTCCAGTCAAGTTCGCGTTCTGGACTCTAAAGATCCAGAAAAAGGGGCTGGGTTTTAAGTGAATTAATTGTACCATTTATCTGCGCCAGGCCAACTGTGGCTGCCGTTGATGATGTTATCTTCGTCTTGCGTCCCTCTGGCCAAGGCAAGTGTCCATGTGTGGCCTCTTCCGTCGATGACGCAGAAATCAAGGAAAATGGTAAGGAAATCTCTATAACCCTACTAATTGTGTTCACTGCGAGTATAGATTGCCTCTAAGTCTTGTTTCAGAGCATGATTCTCCTTTTTGTTGGGTGATGGTAGAAATGAATTAAGGTTTGTTTCCTCAAAATTTTGATGAAACGTATATAGATATAATATGAATAGAGGTTATTCCAGATGTCTTTGTGAATTTGAACTTCTTGAGGAAAATTATGGGGTTTAACTACGGTTTTCAATCGAAAATTCTATTTTCTTTCTGTGATGACAAGGGTATCATATATGTCTTGCAAGGTCACTTTATGTCGTGCAAGATCAGAATGGCAAAATTCTGAGGGGTCCCCGTTCTCTGTCCATGAAAAACTTGGTTCCAGCAAACCCTTTTTAGTTGCCATCCCTGACTACAAGCTCTGCTTTTTTTGCCTACTTAAAAACAACCAAACAACCCTTTATTTGGTCAAGGTAGATATTTAGGAGGATGCTCCTACTCATTCAGAGGAAAAGCATGATTTGATTGCTTGCAGTTTAATCAATTGTCTGCTGTTGTTAGTGACTTCCCCTTTTTTTTAAATTTTTTTGTAGCTTTTAGAAGATATATTTATTGGTTGTGGACTCTGATTTATCTTTGTTGGTTGGCAGTTATCCTGAACTTGAAGAAGCACTTAAAGGCAGGAAGTAGGTCCTGGTGCATAAAAAAAAATTAGAAATCAACAATATTGATGCACAAAGTGGATTAGAATTAATGAAATTTCTGTGTCATGCAAAGGAAGTGATTCAACTTAAACTGGAATTTAGGTGAAGAAAAGTTAAGTGTCTTGCATAGCTAT